AGAGCGGAATGGTTTAAACGAGTGTATATGGTGTCCCTCTGATAACGTTCGCGAAGGGTTGACGTTATCGAGTCTTGGGAAATGCTCTGTATACTGCAGAGGTCAGGTTTTTCCTCGCCTGACGAGGAAGTGGCCTTTTTTTTACCCATATTACTTGGGCTTCAAAAGGTAGTCCAAAATATAAAAGGTCCTCAATTATTAATTGATATAATACAACAACGCGGGAAAAAACCACAAGAGTTCCTTTTTCCCTTTTTTTTTTTTTCTCGGGTTGCTTCCTTCTAAGGTGAGAATAGCGAAAAGGAGGAAAGTGAGGGGGTGAAGAGGATTGGTTTACATAAGGGAACGGCAGTACATCCAATATCAAAATATAAAATATGCAATGAGGTGTAACTTGATTGCCTGTATATAATTAGAGCGTGGATAAGAGTAGATTTTTGTCAGAAATTGGATTTCTATTTTTAGGCATGAGTATAGAGACTAACGCTCAGGTAATGGTAATATAAATTTCTTTTTCCTCTTTAAACCGTTTTTGTGTACACCATAATGCGGGATTATACTGGTTTAGTAATTTTTTATTTGAGGTTATATTGGTTTCCTGATATTTTTTTTTTTTTTATATCTGGATTTATGAACGATTGGGATCAGAAAGGTCGTAAAGAGACTATGAAAAAAAAAAATAATAATAATAAAAATAATAACAATAATAATAAAAAATAAAATAAAATAACAGAAGCGGTGATTAATTGATTAAGATGCATGAAACGAATGAGATTAAATTTTTTTTTTTTTTTGAATTTACGGCGACGACACCTTGCAAACACCTATCAATTGTTTGACCATGTTTTTGTTATTACTGTTGTAAGAGGGACGATCGATCAAATCCCAAGATGATCTCTGGAAAATTACGTGACCTGTTTTTATAAAAGTCCTTTTAAGGGTAAGTGAACCGGATAAACTCTTAAATAGGCAGCTACGATAATAAACCATAGTGGTCATATTGCAATCGGGGCTGAGTTCCAAATTTCGAATAGGATACTATAAATAGCATGGGTGGCCAGGACACATTGTTGGAAAAAACCCGAACCAATTGATGAGTAGGTTTTTTAGAGTTACATACTTTTTTATAAATAAATGCTATTTACTGGTATTTCCGCGTGAACGATGGTGAAATCACAAACACGAACACTCATGTTGTAATGTAAATAAAACACATTTTGTCAAGATTAAAATAAACAAAGTTTAAAAAAAAAAAATAAATTTAATCATCACCAAGGCGCATCATGTAAGTAGTTTATTGGTAACCCGACGTTGCATCTGTGTATCGACATCACCATTTAGAAAGTTTCAGAAATTCACAAAGATAATTAGCTATGGGAAGTTAAGAACTTCCTTGGCAAATTAAAAACTTTGATCACCAATACGCCCCTCACGTGATGCAATTTGTCATGTGGACATTCGACCCAAATCGAAATCGAATCAGCCGAACCGAGTTATCCAAATTTGTACGTCGCATGCTGATCACACACATTATGCGAAGTTTTAAATATGTATGTAATTCATTTTCTCTTATGTTACCCGAATTCATCCCACATTTCTTCTTTTTTTTTTGCTCAGACAACGGATACATGATAGGTCGATATAATTTGATATAAATTGGAAGATGTCAGAAGTAAAGGTCAAGAAATTTTGG